CCCCAAAACCCCAAAACCCCAAAACCCCAAAACCCCGTACTTCTAAAACTATATTCAAATTGATTTGGAATAATAACTTTAATTAAATAAATATAATTCAATTTTAATAATAGTTTGCTATATATTCTAATACAGCTGATTCCCCACCTTCTTAACTTATCACTGTTTCAGATGATAGAAGCTGCACACACTCACTAAATGTGATTTTTTCATTATTAAAAGGGTCTATGAGATTCAAAAATTTATCTATTCTTTGCTTATCTATTCCAAATACACTTATCATCTATTTAAATTATTCCTCGTTTATAATTCCATCATGATCTTTATCGATGTTTTTAAACTCATGTATAAATTTACTTAAGAATTTCTCATGTTCTTTCAATTGAAAATCTAAAACTGTCTTAAGGAAAGTACAAAATTTAAGCTTATTCATAGAACCCTCAGTCTCCAGCTGCTGTCTCTAGCCTCGAGTCATTTTCGTTTTTACACCTGCTTTCATTGCATTCAGAAGAGTGTTACTGCTACTGCTCAGATTTGTTCCAGCCCCAGATTTATTAATTTTAACCTTATTCAGACTGAGCAACTGATCATCAGATTAGCTAGAGGAATTTTAGAGTACTTGCATCTGTAATTTATAATGCAACTAATTCTCAAGTTGCTAATAGTCCTCATCATCATACATTTTTTCAATGATCTTTCGCCATTGCCAAACTTCGATAACTCCCGTTCCATTATTGCCGGTTATATTTTCTATGATTCCATTAAGAGAGTCCTCTGTTTTAGAAGGATATTTTTCTCTAAGTATTGCTTTAAGTAAAGCAAATACAGTATCTTTAACAGTTTATTAGATGAATCTGAACTCTTCATCACATTCATTTCTTAAAATTTTACCAAAGAGTGCAACTTCATGATCATCTTTGGAGAATTACTTAATTCCTTAGATTATTGCAGCAGCCCATTCTATTATTAGATTTTTTAACCCATATCTTTAATTGAGATAAGTATACATATATTACTCCATAGTTTCCCTAGGCTACTTATTATCTTAACACTTTTAATCAAATTTTGTTTTATTTTGATAGATATCATTGATAAGATCTTTAAGTTATTTTAAGGACAGATTCCTATTTTATGATTATCCAAGAATACTTCCCATTCCCCCTTTTAAGTTCATTTTCTTTTTAAATCCTGATTGAAATGCATGATACAATGAACTATTTACTGTACCTAAACTACCATTAGTCTACTCACTTGTATTTCTCTGATGAAAATTAGTGAATCTAGAGCTCTACGTAATGGAATGCCCATCTCTAATAATTGGTACTGGTGAGTGTGTATTTCCAGTCCCTCCTCCACTTAAACTATTGTTTTGCTTGTGCATTGCAACTTAGAATGAAGCATTAATTAAGTTTCTTTTTCTAGAAGATTCTCTTTATGATAGGCTTAAGTTACTTTGATTAACCTATTAACGAGAGCTTTAAGGTCTTACAGTTTATCTAGCAGATTATGGTGATTATTAATGTTATTACAATTATTGCTATACTTGTTAAACTTTTTATACTGTTTTAGGGAGCTATTCTTACAATTATTTTTGAGGAATCTACTTTGGATAATCTATCACCTATTCTCTAGATTCACGAGAATCATAGGATTTTTAAAGTTTGTCCATTTGCGATCTCAGTTTCTCATTTTCTTACTCAAGTGACTGAATATATTTTTACATTTCATTTTTTTCGTTTTTCAGCAACATCATCTCTTATTTATGAAAGTTATTCTGGTTCTCTAGATGTTCAGCTGCTAATAGCAACTGATGCGTTTCATCTTTATTTTTTTGAAGCTCTTGGTTAAGTAAATCTGATTTTTAAATTGACTCAATAAATGCCTCCTGTAAATCTAGGTAAGTTCCTCTCATTCCCTCAAACACAGCAGAGATTACATTTGAAACTTACAATTTACCTTTCCTATTAGGAGAGTTATTGATTGATTTTATTGATTAATCCTTAATGTAATCTGATATCTTTTCAGCACACATTGAATATAATTCTTATTTACTACTTAAACTCCTCTCTTTTTTGACTTCTCTCCCAATTCTTTCACTCTTAACAACTTCACTCAATGCCTCCATTACTGATTTTAGTTTATAGTCGAAATCTTGGGCAAGCTACATGTCTTTTGAAGAATCTAATTTGGAATGAAGTAGTCTAATTGTATCATAGATCTCTGCTATTTCCTCAAACTCATCAGGATTTATGAGATCTTCATCTGCTACATATTCTGACGTATCATCAAATTCACTATTGACCTTCTTTAAGCTTCTGTTCGATTTAGAAGATTTGGCAGCTGTTGAACCTTTTCTCGAATAGTTTTGGTAAACTTAATTCAGATCAGGATCGTTAAACAAATTATGAGGATTAGTGTTACTATGCAAGGCATATCCAGACTAATTTTATTTTATAATTTTGTGGCTTGATCTGCTTTAAACAGGGGGTTTCTAAATAATTTATGGTGCATTCAACTGTTTTTAAAAGTTTAAAATAATCTGTTATGTTCCACTATCCTCCTCACTTTAAAACTCTTATGTATTCCTCAGACTATGTCCTGAGATATCAACTAAAAGCTGATTTTAAAGTTCTTATGTATCCCCTAGTATTAAATTTTAATCACTTATTCCTTGATTAGATTAAGTGTTAATAAAATCTTCATTTTTAGTTTCCCTGATTTCAGTCATCATTCCATCATAAATAGTGTCATTGTTGTTATTGTTGTTAAGTCCTATAGACTTCATCTGTAATTGATTTTTATTTTTATTTCTACTGTTATGTTGCATTTACTGCTAATGATGTTAAGGTATGATCCTATCTTCTGATTATTCTTGGTAATCATCAATAAAATTCTGCATCATGCTTTACTCCTAATCATGTCTAACTGTACTGTTACTTTGATATAATTCATCTCTATCAACATGCAGCCCATTAAGATATTCAAGCTAAGGAACTTTCTTAAGAATATAATCTACCTACTCTTCCTTATTTAGGTTTATGAAAAGAGATCTTAACTTAGAAAGTGAACCAATCGAATCAATCGCCTCAAATACATCTTTGATGCAATTATTGTTAACATTTAGAATTTCTAATTCTGTTAGATATTCACCTATATTATCTGGAATGTACTGTATTTTATTGTCAGAGAGGTTGAGTGATTACACTGGCATCTTAAGCTTGCTTATATACTTAGTGACCAAATACTCCAAATCTTCAATTTACTAAGAACCCAAGTTCAAAGTGTCAGTAGGTTGATTAGATGCTAATAATTGTCTCCCGATTTATTCTTCCATTATTACTCAGTTTCAATTTAATTTCTAATTTTCCCAATTAAGTTTTGATAGTTAGAAATTTCTCAACGGGGTTTTGGGGTTTTGGGGTTTTGGGG